TTTGCAGTTTTTGCAAAAAATTCTGCAAAAATTTGCATTTTCGCAGGTTTTTACAGATTTGCACTTATTTAATTCTCCCGATGTTGTTAAAAAAAAAAAAATATATATATATACTTATATTACAAGTTGATAAATTTTATAATTAATAAATTTTTAATTAATAATATATCAAAATTAAGATATAAAAAAATATTTTTTATGTTTATACATTATTGAAATTATCAAAATTCAAAAATTTATAGATTTTTTAATTTTTTTAACATAAAATAGGTATTATTTTTACTATGTAAATTATATAGCAAACTAGGTTAAATTAGTGTTTTATTTTTTGGTATAACTTTTTTTTGTATATAATAACTTTGTTTAAAATTTTGCTAACTTTTTTTGATAGTTACACAAAGACACTTGCATAGTAGCACAAAATGATACCTAATTTTAATTGGTCAAACTTTAAAAATAAGCAAAATTTTAATTTTTTAATTTTTAAATTTTAAAATTTGAGTAACTTTGAAGATTTTTTTAAAAAATTTAAATTAATAAACAATATAATTTTTTTTATAAATATATTGTCTAGATATTCAAATATTATATATATTTTTTTAATTACTAGTTAATAGAAAAAAATTAGTACTTTAACTATATACCAACTTGAATCTATTCAATTTTTCTGCCAGAATAAATGAGAAGACCAATATATATAAATACAATTTAGCATGTATTTTTTAATAAGTAACAGGTTTTATATTAATATGTTAAACAAATATAATTGATTATAAGTTGTATTCATCTCTGTTTTAAAACAGAATCTTAAATGAATATTTCTTAGAACAGCACTTGAGTAAGTTTTTGATGCATAAACTAATTCGATAGGTTAATAATTTATACAATAGAATTTATATTTTTAAACTTTTAATTAATATTGAACTATTGCATATTTGAAGTTTCTATTTGCATTTGAATTTTTGGTTTGGGATTTATGTTGATATGATACGTTCTACAACATTTATATAAATAATTATCTTATATAGTTGTAACATATAATTATGTATTATTAAGATATTAGCTTGTTGATATCATATATAAAAAGTATATATTATTGGACAAAAATTGTCAAATAGCGGTAATTTGGTAAATGAATATGTGCTGCTTTGTGACACATATAGCCAATCATTTGTGCAAAAATCTGTACTCAGTTTATGGTCACGTGATAATAATTATGTGAAATTCAATAAACTTATGGTTAATAGCAGGCCTGATTTTCTGACTTTAGGTGAAGTTTTCTTGGTAACTACCTAACAAAATTTGATGAATTTTTTTATTTATTTCAATTCTACACATTTATAGAATTGAATAAAATTTTTTCAAATTTGGTTGGGTAGTTGTCAAGAAAACTTTGCTCAATGTTTTAAAAAGTTAATGTTTGTTGATAGAACAGCTTTTTTAAAGTATCAAGTGAAATTTTCTCGATAACTACCTGACTATATTTAATGAAATTTTTTTATTTCAATTTTACACATTCGTAAAACAATTTTCATTGAATTTGGTCAGGTAGTTGTTGAGAAAGCTTTGCTCAAAGCTCTAAAATTTTTTTAGAAGAAATTAATCAATAGATAAAGCAGATTTTTTTTAAGCTTTGAAGTTTCTCGACAACTACCATCTATCAAATTCAATGAGCTTTTTATTTTATGTTAATTATATATATTTGCAGAACCAAAATGAAAAATTTTCATTGGATTTAGTTGGATAGTTGTCGAAAAACTTCACTTAAAGTTACTTTTGCTTTTCAAAGTAACTAAAACTTTGAGCAAAATCTTCTTGACAAAATCTGACAAAAAATTTATTTTAACTTTACAAATATGTAAAATTAAAGTAAAAAATTTGACGAATTTAGTTAGGTTGTTATCGAGAAACTTCACCTAAAGTCAGAAAAACCTGCCCTGTCTATTATCGAAAACTTTGTTTTCAGTACGCGCATGTAATCACTTTTGATTGGTAGAGCATACGTAAGTTCATTGAGTTTCGTATGATCATAATCACGTGACCATAAACCGAGCACATTATAATTTCCGGACGGTCTACGGGGAAAGTCTCCGGACACATACCAGTCACACCTACAGATTACTGATATGACATACCGATGTAATAAACAATGATCCTATTAATAAATTCGAAAGTTTTTAAAACTTCTAGCAACGATTTCTCAATAACTACACGATTAAATTCGGTAAAATATATTTTATTATAATTCTATAGTATAGTAGAGTTAAAAAAAAAAAAAAAAAGATAGATTATTTAATTTGGTTCAGTAGTTGTTGAGAAATCATCGCGGAAAGATAAAAAAAAAACTTTAATATCAATAAATCGGGTAAATTTTTGAAACTTTAAATAACGATTTCTCGACAGCCAACTACCAAATTTGAAGAAATTTTGGGTTCATAGAATTAAAATAAAAAATTTCAATCGAATTTTAATAGCTGGCTGTTGGGAAATATCCATTAAATTAAAGAAAATTTTAGACGCAGCTTTTTTTAAAGATATCAAAACTTTGAACGAAGATTACTTGGCACTTACCTGGTCAAATTTGATCGTTTTTTTTCATTATAATTCTATGAGTTCATATAATTGAAATAAAAAAATTTAATTGGATTTGGCTAAGTGAGTGTCGAGCAGTCTTCGTTAAAGTTTAGGCACCTATACAAGAAAGCTGCGACCAAATCTTTCTTGAATATTTCTCAACAACCAGCTATTCAAATTCGATCAATTTTTTTTTATTTTAATTCTATGAACCCAAAGAATTAAAATAAAAACTCTTCAAATTTGGATAGTCGGCTGTCGAGAAATCGTCATTTAAATTTCAAAGACAAAAAAATCTACCGATTTATTGAAATTTAAAGTTGTTTTTATAACCTTTCTGCGATGATTTTTCAGCAACTACTGAACCAAATTAAATAATAATTTTTTATTTAACTCTACGGTACATAGAATTATAATAAAATATTTTTTACCAAATTTAATCGTTAGTTATTGAGAAATTGTTGCTAGAAGTTTTAAAAAACTTTCGAATTTATTAATTGGATCATTGTTTATTACATCGGTATATCATACCGGTAATGGTAATCGGTAGGTGCAAAATCATGCGACCGGTATGTGTCCGGAAACTTTCCCCAGCGAATTCAATCAAGTAGTTGTCTAGAAATTTTCGTACAAAGTTTAGAAAATTTCTGTCGCGGTTATTTTAGAGGCGATGAAAACTTTTTTCAACTTTGGACGAAATTTTTTTTAAATGAATTGTATCAATTCGTAAAAGCTATTTTAAAAAAATTATCGAATTCTATCAGATGGTTATTGAGAAATTTTCTTTCAAAATTTAAAAGATTTTTGCAGCGGCTATTGTCTTAGAAGTTAGTGGAAATTTTTCAAAACTTTGAGTGAAAAATTCTCGACAACTACTTGATAGAATTCGATGAAAAATTGTTTTAATGAATTCTACTAATTTGTAGAATTTAAACAAATTTTCGTTGTATTCTATTAGACAATTATCGAGAAACATTGTCCAAAAATTAAGAAAACTTCTACTTCGACAACTTACGTACGTCTATATCATGTGTTATTCGGTACGTGCAAATTACGTGATTTGGTACGTGACCGTAGACCGTCCGATAATTTCGCAAGTTCATTAAATTTCGTATGACATCATCACGTGACCATAGACCGAGTACAGATTATATTTCGCATATTTGACAATTTGTATGATAATGGTGTTATCCGGCAATTTATGATCATGAGCCGATAATTATATGATTGCGCCGGATAATTAGTAAGTTTAAGATTCAAGTTTATTTCAGTGCTTATAAAGATAATATTAATTGGCTTCAGTATCCATTATTAATTTAATAAAAGCGTATTTTATTTTAATTTTTTATTTTTAGATACAAATATGTATTATAAGTAGTTAGTTTTAGTTATTTAATATATTTTATTATTATTTATTTTTATTCAATATATATTTATTAAAGCTGATGTGATTTTTTATTGTGTATTATTAAGGTTAAGTTTATATGTTGTTACATTTGCACTAGAATTATTTGAATTTTTTTTTTACCAAATCAATACATTATTAAGAGATTAATATCTAATAATATTGAAGATAGTGCATAAGTTAGTAATTAATTCATTAAAAATAAAGTTGGTATCGAAAATGGGTCCATGTCACTTGCCCTACAACAATTTGTTCAACAGCTATTTTTTTAACAATATTCTTAAAAATATTACTAAAAAAATAGCTGTCAGACAAATTGTTGTAGGGCAAGTGACATGGACCCATCGAAAATAGTCATTATTTACTTGAATTGAATTGTATTGCATTATAATTTTAAATTCGAACTTACTTGTAGTTAAAATTGTGATCATTATATTATTATCATTATCACTAGTCAAAATAGTATAATTCAATATAATGAAGAGAATATTACTTATCTTTTAGAATATATGGGAGTTATGAGAAGTCTCACTTTCATTCATATAATGTGAATTATATTCATGAATTCTTTATACCCAATTAAATAAAATATATAAGAGAGGTTGACACCACTCCGACAATTAATACCTAAGTATAAATTCATATGATAAAATAAATAAAAAGAACAAACTTGACTTCTAAAGTAAATAAACATTAATAATATACAAAATATGTTTAAAGTTTGTGGATTGCTTTTTAATTAGAAGCCGCTTCCCTTTAGTGTACCTCTTTGATAAATTTGATTTTAATTATTTACTTAAATTTATCTGAAATTTATCACAATCTGTACAACTAAAAATTCCAGTAAAGAAAAACATTGACTAATATATTGCTTTTACTATCTATAAAGCTTGAATATCTATAAAAATATCGAAAAATGTACAGTATATTGAGACATATATTTACAATCAGTAAACCAATTACTACCTTAAATTTATTAACTAGTAGGGCATTTAATGTCATATTTACTAATGGATTTGGATTATTGCCTCTTCCTAAGCTTTAACAAACGATAAATCACGCAAGAAGCTAAAATCAAAACAAGACTAACAACGACAATGATGCTAATATATAATCCTCTGGTTATTGATTCGTCGCTATTTGCATTAATTGGTGTAATAAGTGACTTCGATGCCCCATCTGTGGATGCACTATTTGTAGCAATGGGTGCAGGTACTGCACCTACGGCAGAAGGTGCGAATGTAGTTTTTGTAGGAGAGGGAATTGTTGTAGGCGTAGGCACAAATTGTTGTTGCTGGGTGCTTTGCGGACTATTCGGTCCATTCGAACCACTCGGAATAATCGATTTTGAACTTTGATTTGGGCTTTGATTTGGGCTTTGAATTGGATTTGGACTTTGATTTGGACTTTGATTAGGGCTTTGATTTGGGCTTTGATTTGGACTTGGACTTTGATTTGGGTTCGGATTCGGATTCGGTCCTTGGGGTGGCCACGGTGGCCTTTTTGGTGGTGCTTTTTGACTTAAACTAAGTTTTATAAAAATTGGTACCATTACGAGAAACAATAGCATAATCATATGACTTTTTTTAAAATGCATCGTTTCTTATTATGATGGATATTTAAACTTTATTAAAATTTTATATTTTAAAAAGATATACAAATAAAATTAACCTTTAAGAAATAAAAATTTTTTTTGCACTTATATTTGCAAGCAATATATATATATATATTAACTTGTCAACAATTATTTAATCATTGCATAGAACTGGTTAACTAACAATTGAATAACTAGTTTAACCGGATAGAATATATAATTTTAATTCTGGCCAATATCGTTATATAATATTAACCAGAATTAAAATTTTTCGATCTGTTAGTCTATAATTTCTGTTAAAATTATAGTGATAGTAATACTATTCTGAATTAATTTTGTTAGTAATTAACCGGAATTATGCTTCTTTATTCTGTTATTAACTGGTTGAGTTTTTTTTTGCATTATGGGAAAAAAATTGGAACGGGTTATTCTTATGTTTAGGGAGGCAACGGTCGGCCTATTTTCGGATAGCCATTTTTAGCCGTTGGTTGCATCTCATGATCCAGTAATCCATATTGGATGATTTTAATACCATTTTGATTCGTCTCAACGAGACGAATCGAATGGTATTAAAATCATCCAATATGGAGGCTATCCGAAAATAGGCCGACCGTTGCCATCCCTACTTATGTTACTATATACTTTCAAATTGACTTAACAAATATGAATACGTATTTTAAATATACTTCAGCACGCAAAGAATAAATGAGGCATCTAGAAGATACGGAGTATATGCTATAAACATTGCATATAGGATAAGTTGTCTTTCATCATGTAAGTGATAATAATAACAATAAGAATAATAATAAGAATAACAATAAGAATAATAATAAGAATAAGAAGAATAATAATAATAAGAATAATACTTTATAATTTATAATAATAATAATTTATAATAATAATAATACGTAATAATACACCTTTACACCTAATTCCGCTAATAAGATCTAAGTGTAAATGCGCAGATAATTAAAGTTATCAAAATTATCATCTGGTAACCTTTCCAAGCATATGTCATAAAACTTGTGCCGAAGTCATAGTTATAATAACACTAAGTGGATATTTATAATTCACTCGCCTGTTAATAATTCTTTTAATATAAGTTTTTAACTATTGATGTTACACAAATCTACAAAGAACACGTGAGTCAATGGTAAGTCACGTTAGCAGTTAGTATGTATGTACGTACTTACGTTCGCATGTACTTACTGTAGATGCTCATGTTAAATATAAAAAGAAATTAAATGATTGAGACATAAAATTCTAAAAAAAAACAACTATATTATAATTGCACTCTGAACAAAATTGTAATGAAAGCAATAAATTTATATTATCATGATTTTTAGATAGCTATGCACGTGGGTAATTATTTTTGAACCCGGACTAAATTTATATATAATGTAATAAGATTTTGGTCTGAATTCAAAAATAATTCCCCACGTATAATAAGTTCGCATAAATGATAATCTAAAAGATAACTAAAATGTACGCACCATCTTGTTATCAATTGTGGCTTATAAAGCTTTTTGCTCATACTAACTTGTTTATTGTCAACAATTTTCTTTATACACAAGTTTTAAATTACCATACACAATTACCAACTAAGGAAAATTCAAATTACCGTTACCGTTACGTTGAAAAATTTTACTTTGGTATAAGGGTCACGCATGCAAAATTAATGACTACATAAAACCACTTTACTAAACCCATGTATTGAAAAACTTCGAGCGACTTGTCCGAGACATTAGGATTTATATAACCAATATTGCTGACCATCTAAAACTTAAAAATGCTTATATTACAAACATTACCTACCATAAATCAATCAATAAAATACATATATTTTTTAATTAATCTAATAAGTTCAAAGAATATCTTTCAATCTAAGTATGTAAAATAATTCATAAAATTCATTACCTGGCAGCTTACTATGATAGTGCTTGCCAAATAACACGAGTTATTTGGCAGTGATTATGCCATCTGCCAAATTATTTCGTTGAACATAGGTGCGTACAAAAAATGCGTGGCAGAACCTCGATTTTGATTGGCTAACGGCCGAGGATATTCGAAATTTTGGCCCGCATTACATAAATGTTACTAATTTCCGGCCGTAATTAGCTTTTTAATTTTTTCATTACAAAATAGAAATTTTTAAAAAATAAGCCCAAATTATGGTAAAATTTGCCCAGGAACAATTTCACTTAATGGGTGGCTGCGATTTCATTTGCTAAATTATAAATAATTCCGGCCTAATTTTTTGATCGTCGCTCTTAGCCAATCATAATCGAGGATCCGCCGCGCAGTTTTTGAGCCCTCGATTTGTTAGGCAGCTTACCAAAAACCCGAGTCATTTGGTAAGCACAATCGTCATAAACCACCGGATAACGCCGTTATTGTGTGCTACGCAACCAATAACTTGTTTATCTGGCAGCGAATTTAATATATATCATTTCTGGGCCCCTTTTGGGGCCCAGAAGCTGACATATCAAATTTCACAGCCAGATAATGAATTATTTTACAAATAATTCTCGTTATTAGCTGCTCACATCCAATAACTATATATTATGTAATTTTATTTTAGATTATGAGCATACAGTAAAGTGCGACATTCAGATAAATATTTAAACTATCAGAATTCTTTTATTTGCATTGAATCATTATTCAGAATAGGCTATTCAAGTTTATGAACGTATATTATCCTTAATTCAGTAATTTATTTCAGTTGATGAGTGTTAAAAACATTAAACTGTCCATATTTATAATTTAAATTTATTCGCAATAATTTCTTACGCAAGCATAAAAAATATTTATTAATCTAAATATTTAATTAATTTCACTCTATTCATGATAATTTATTGTATAAAACATTTATTGTCGCAGCTGAAGCTAGAAATTAGAGACCTTGATTTAAAAATAAAAACCCTACCAAAATCCACTTATTATTAATATTAAAACTACCACTAAACCCTAACCTAACCCTAAAAAAACCCCCTAACAAAAGGCCCAAAAAATTTTTGAAAATTTCATATTAAAATAATTAAAATTTAAAGCATCAGCCATTTCCAGCATCAGCCGCGACATTTGTTATACAGGTTCACGTATACTTACTATTATTAGAGAATTTAACGGTAATTGACACAAATAATGCAACAGGGAGGACGTCCCATTTCGCTTATATATATATATATATTAACTATTTGGCTCCGGACATACAATGCCAGGGTTGGATAATTCATACAGGAGATCCCCAAAAATTCTGGGTCGAAATACGTCGGGGATGGTCGGCCATGAAAATCCTTTTAAAATTTAGAGGCCAATATTGATTAATACCCAATTTCAACAAATTTTTTATTTATTTTAATTTCACAAGTTATCTAATAGATTTAAAATATTTTAATTCTACATCTTTGTTGAATCGAAATAAAACCAAATTTATCGAATTTTGTTATGTAGTCACTAAGAAATATTTATTTATTGTTTAAAAAAAATTTGCCGCAGCTTCTTTTTTATAGGCACTAAAACTTTAAGCGAAGTTTTCTCGATGAATATCTATATAGGACTACAGGATTAAAATAAAAAAATTCATATAATGGTTAGATGTTCATCGATTAAAGTTTTAGCACCCACAAAAAAGAAGCTGCGGCAAATTTTTTAAAACTTAAACTACATAACCAAATTCGATATATAAGGGAGATGGAGGTGTTGTGGACAGGGGGTATTGTGGTCAGGTTGGAATATCTCGCGATCCAGCGATAAGAATTAAATCATTTTTGTATCATTTGATTCGTCTCAAAGTGACAAATCGAATGGTGCAAAAATGATTTAATTCTGATCACTGGATCGCGAGATATCCTCACCTGACCACAATACCCCCTGTCCACAATACCCTCATCTCCCTTATATTTTTTTATTTCGATTCTACAAACATGTAGAAAATTTTTCATCGAATTTGATCATGTTTTCACCGAGAAATTTTGTTTTAAGGTTAGAAAGAAATTTATTCTTATTTTTCTTGGATTAAAAGTTTTTTTAAGCTTTAAACTGAAATTAATTATTCTTTTTCTTGGACTCGAAATTTTTTAAGTTTTAAACTGAAATTTCTCGATTAAGACATTATCAAATTTGTTAAAATTTTTTTATTTTAATTCTAAGTGTTTATAGAATCGAAATAAAAAAATTATCAAACTTTGGTTATGCACTTTACAGAAACCTGTGTTTTTTGCTAAATATGTTTACAATATATTTATTATTTATTAACAATATTTAATATTATATGATCTAAAATAGTACATAATAAATATACTTTGAATATATATAATCATATAATAATTATATTTTTGTTCTTACTGCTAACTCTCTTGTAACTTCGTTACTAATAATATGGTTGTTATATAGATACAATATAATTTTATGTATAAAATAATCTGTTATTAATCTAATAATAAT